AAAAGAAAAAATGAATCGAAGAGAAGAAGTTTACTCTTAAACAGGGTTCGGATGCAAGAGAATTCCTTGTCTATTCTCATCATTAGGTTTCAATGAAGCTGCTACTGTACTTCAGAGCCTAATGGGAGTCTGCAAAATTATTGGGAAAATGCAATAAAAAACAGTCAAAGACAGGTTATGCATCAATTGATATTGAGATGGAAGCATAAGAGGTGAAGAACCAATTACCAATACAATGGTCATTTACCCAATCTGGTGCATGCTGCAATAGATTTGGAGAATTTGTTCGGGAAATTTGACGCAAAAATAACATTTCACCATCCACTGAGCGAGATGACATGCAGAAACCGGAGGTTCATGTATATATATAACCCACTTCACTGGTGAGACACAAGCCAGGACAACTGAACTCCTTGGAACTGTTAAACCTGATAGACAAAATTTCTAGGTAGGCTACACCACCTGAAAGGAGAGTAAAGCATGTCCTAAGTGCATTTGCTGCAGTCAAACTAGCTCCAATGAAATCTCGAATATCGTTGGCATATCATTGGCATAAACTCAAGTGAGCAACTCTTGCAGTTTGCTGGATAGTTAGATCAATTATCGTCAAAGATTAGATCAGTCTAACTCAAGAATCATGGCATAACCTACCCAGTAGATTGAAGGGGATCCAAACTCAGAAAATTCCACTCTGAACTAACATAGAACACAAAAGAAACAAAGTCCCTACTTATCCCATTCATAATAGAAAGCTCAAATCCATCTAGTGATTAAAATTCGAAAAATCCCCATACAGAAAAGAAAAAATAAATCAAAGAGACGATGTTATGCCTAAACAGGGCTTGGATTCAAGAGAATTCTTTGTCTATTCTCATCATTGGGTTCCCATGATGCTGCTATTGTACTTAATAACCTAATGAGGGACTGCAAAATTATTGGGAAAATAAAACAAAACACAGTCAAAGACAGGAAGCTATCTCTATTGCTCCTTGAAGCCTGAAGCAGAGATGAGAATTACAGGTTATGCAACAACTGATATTGAGATGGAAGGAAAAGAGATGGAGAACCAATTACCAATTCAATGGTCATTTAGCTTTGCACAAACTAACCATACAAACTTTAGTCAGCAAATTTGGTCGCCTGACATCAAAAGACTTACCTCTGAAAATAACATCAATATGGCATCAACCAAATGGCCCAGAGAACTGCAAGAGAATAACATGCCCTAAAGCCGTGAGATATGAGAAAGTGGGAAAGCAGGCATAAACCATATCAAAGTAGAAACAAAAAGAAAACAAGGACAGAAATCACACATCAAATACCCCAACAAATGCACCTTGAAAACCAAATTAACCAAGAAAATCAGCCTGTAGAAATTGTGGAAAGCATGCATGCATAGAAACCAAGCAATTATGCAGGTTGCTTCCCATAAAACATCATTCTTTTCATGCTTCTTCTAATTATGATTGATTGTATTTTCTTTTCTACTAACACTTGACTCAGTATAACTCACTCCATTGAGTTTGCAACCATAGAACTCTATTTTATCTAAGGAGTGATGATTATGCACGAACTTACTAAAATGAAGAAGATTAAGCAAGCTTATTGAGAGGGCAAGTTGGCCAAAATTATTGCAAGTGCAGAAAAAGAAATGTCTTCAAATGGTTCACCCAGGTTCTATATTTAGTGAAACAAATTTTCTTAGATTCATCCATAGCAACTAGTATTACAGATGAGGCTGCAAACAGCCAAAGACAAAAGCAAAAACATAGAAGATCCTATTTAAGAATACTCAAACACCAACATAATGGTCTGTGGATACTAGAGCTCAAAAGACTTAATTTTTACATCTTACAGCAAAATAATAGCTTCTCTCAGCAC